ATGAAAAAGCTGCTCAAGTGTCAGACAGCGGTGGGGAACAGTTGCTAACGGTGCTGCCTCACACCGCTGGGGTCCCAGGGAGCTGTCTGTGTGGAGTTTGCATGGCCCCGCTGTGTTCACATGGGGTTCCTCCCACAGTCCAAAAACATGCTGGTGGGTTACTTGAGCTCTCTGGAAACTGGCCCTGCTGTGTGTGTGTGTGCCAGTGTCTGTATCTGCCCTGTAATGGACTGGTGTCCTGTCCAGGGCGTACCCTGACTCGGGCCCATTGCTTGCTGGACCCCTATGACCCCGAACTGAAAGACGTGTTCAGGAACTGGACAGATGGATGACTAAGTGTCTGTTTTCTGCTCTGTAAGAAAGGGGGGGGTGTTTCTCTCCAGATTGCCATGGAAACAGAAAGTACATTTATCTGAATCGTTGCATATTCCTGTGCCTATGCACCTCTCGGGCTGAATTATTTTTAGACTGCCATAAATTCAAACGGTGAAAAGTCAGTAATGTGCGTAAGAACGCGGCCTAGTTTGTCACTCTGCGTTCCAGAGCTCCTCTCCGCGCCGGGGGTGTGTGTGCACTCAGCACTGGGAATGCCCACCGCCGTCAGCGGGGCCCGATCCGGCCCGATCCGGAAGGGGCGGTCCGGCCCGCTCTTTTCCCTCGGGCTTGTTGGGGTTTGGGAGAGGCGACAGGGCGCCAGCGGGCCCAGGACAGGCTGGAGCAGGAGACAGTCCTGCGCCTGGGGCGTCTCTGTGCTCCTGCCGGTGCAGCAGGGGGCTGGATTAGGAGGCAGGTCTCTCCTGGAGGGTGAACAGGCTGCAGGCTTGACCTCCCCTCTGGTGACAGAGGCAGACGTGAGCCACGGCTGTGTTTGAGGCCACGCTGGGCTGTATTTAGGGCTTAAGTGCAGATTAAGAGCAGAAAGCTTTGCTAATGAACCTCATCCAGTTCTCAGCGGTCTACTGGCCTGGAGCCCCGACGGGGTTCTTGCTCAAGAACGACGCTCTGGATTGTAGATCAGTTACAAACAGCAACAGCAGCTCATAGGTCATGTAAAGTTGGGCCAGAGTTATCATTCTTATGAGACAGGAGTGCTGTGCTGTAGGAGGCACACGTCCAGATAAAGCATTAAAAGTGAGATTGTGGGATTTCTTCGGGTGCCCCATCGTGATGGCTGGGTTGACTGGGTTAACTGGCGCGTGCCCAGTGGTGGGCTGGTGTCCCGGGTGTAGCTCTGCTCTGGGGAGAGGCTGGAATTAGCAGGAACATTTGGCTCTCTGAGGAGAGGGATGGGTTTCCCGGGAATGGTGTTGTTTACGCGCTGTTCTTCCTGGGAACTGGGCAGCGGCGTCAGGGCAGCTCTGCAGCAGAGACAGGGGTCAGGGTCCACGCTACCCGGGCCGAGCTCTCCGGCTCCCCCGGTGACCTTCACTGAGTCGGAGCCCCGGGAGGGGAGAGGGAGACGCAGGGAGTCGCAGAGGAAGAGGAGGGGGGCAGCTGCCCGGCTCTTGAGTAAGAGTGTGTGAGAGTGCTGGATGGGCAGCGCCTCTGTTCCTGGCTGAGCTGGCGTCCCGGGCAGGCGGACGGGGAGGGGATCCCAGGGCTCCGCGGCTGTGGCGGGGGCAGGGATGTCTTTCAAAGGTGAAAGGTCACAGTGTCACAATACAGCTGGCGTCTCCATCCTCTGTCCTGCAGCGCCCCTACCTGGTGAGTCTTATATTGCACCTCAGCATTGAATTAGGTAACGATGGACTTTGATGTCTACGAGGAATTCCTCTTTGTTAAGTCAAATACTTGGTGTACAAAATCTTCTGAATCACAGCCCAAATGTTCCAGTCATGTAGAAGCGCTTTTGGAGTGGAGTAGTGAGTAAAGGCCACACAGAGACCCAGGTGA